TTTAAAATTATAAACTGTATTAGGTCTTCCTTAAATATGCAAATACTTTCGACCTTACGTCCAGTCATCATCGGGCATGGAAATTATTTTGTTTTTGGTAAAATTCACGTATTATATTTTTTCGTCTCGGATGCTACCTGAATTTTATCAAAAACAAAATAATTTCCATGCCTGAAGATGACTGGGTGTACAGTTGAAAGTACTTGCATATTTAAGGAAGACCTAATTGTTATAGTGGAACACGCCTATTCTATAGTTAATAGACTCTCCTACCTATAATAAGTAGGAGTAGTAAGAGTAACAAGCGAGTCGGCAGTGAGTTGGTCAATCAGTCGAGGTCGGACGACCGTTAGTCGGATATTAAAGTATCAGCCACCACAACTAGATTGCTGCGTCATTACCTATTATATCAAGTTCCTAAAGTTTTGTACGTCGAACCTATTTTAGGACCGACTTAGTACAAATACAAGCCTCCACTGTGAAACCACTACACTAATACAGTTTATAATTTTTAAAAAACAAGGATCATAACATTAATCGAGTAATTAGTAGGTTTATGCATCTTTAAAATTTTGTTTGCGAAGGGATTTCACTATTTTATATCATTAACTTTACTAATTTATTTTTTGTATGAATGATTCATTGTAATATACAAAATGCAAAAAAGGTTAATGGTCAGAGTTGAATCAGACCAGGAAACAGTGGTATTAAAAAGTGATCGATACACATGTGAAAAAATAAAATAAATGTAAAACTAACATGTAGAGGTTTTAACTTTAAAAATTAGGAGATCAGTTGAATCTGCTACCTTGGTTTCAATCTTAAGGCATCCTCAGGCGATTTTTACCAAATGACCTCTTAACGCTTTATTTTTTTTAAAACTAAGGAACGCTATATTATTTTTTTTTTTTAAAATAAAGAAAAAAATGCACAACATCTGGGTGTAATAGAAAGGGTGGAGGAGGATGTGAAGAAGGAAGGAGGAAAAGCAAGGATTTTATAAAAGTATTGGTTGGCGGATTAATTGAAATGTACTTTTTTTTTTAATCAGAAATCCAAAGTCTTGAGTCTTTGCATACATATTAAGAAATTCCTCTTCATCCTATATGAAGCTGGATAAAAATATCAATATATATATATCCAATCACCCATAGATAGCCAGGTGTACAGTGGCAGAAATCTTGTGAATATGGCAACGAAGATGAGGACAACAGGCCGAAAGATGTAAATAGTGTAAATAACTATGATGATTATCAAAATCGAACTGGCGAGCTGGGTTCAAATTTTAGCCAAGTCAGTTGCATTCATTTTCATTTAAAAGACATAGTGCCATATTTTCTCTTTCCCACCCTGGGGTAGGGGTTAAGTAGAAAGTTAATTGGAACTCTCTAGCCTTGGATAGCAATTTGAAGGAGATGAGAAATCACTCTTTTCCCAAGAAGTCATGGTAATTTACAGATAACAAATTAAAGGAAATCGATAGAGGGCCATGATCGCCCACAGCTTTGAAGGAACTCAACCTTTTTTTTTCTTTTTTTTTTTAAAGAAAAGAAATTTCTAAGTATACGACAATAAAGGTGTAGCCAATGTTTTTTTTCTTTCTTTCTTTTTAAACTTGTAATATAATTTTTTTTAATTATTCGCTATCACTATCATCAAGGTAGTAAAGCCACTAAGATAATGGGTATCAGGGTGTGGAAGAATTAGGAATAGAAACATTAATAATGAGCAGGAAGAGAAAAGGATAATCAGGAGGACAGTAGATAGTGATTGACATTGCATTTAAATTTTTGCACATTAAAGTTGGCTGGAAAGTATGGAGCTGGAAGGGAGTTCCACAACTGAGAAGTGTGAGAAATGAAACTTATCATAGAATCTATGGCTACATCAAGCCAGCTTAACAGTAAATTGCTGAGATCTTGACGCCAGTACTGCACTGCAAACAGTATAGTTAGAACTCATCCGAACAACTGCCTCGAAAGTATCTATAGAAAAGACACAAAGAGGCAACCTTACGCAGTCAGAAAGTGACTGAAGCCGATAAGCCAGATCAGGGCCAATAATATTGCTGATTCTTCTTTGGACTTTACCAAGGAGCTCAAGGTAAATAGCGGGGGAAACGGACCTTATGTGGCAGCAATATTCTAAGCATGGACGAATGGTAGACTTATAAAAAAAAATTGTCTCACACGACACAGTAAATCAACTTTCTTAGCAGCAGACCTAGTAATGGATTCAATTTTGTCTCTCCACTTGATGTTAGCTGAGAACATTAACCCAAGAAGTCACCACGAGTCACTTTCCCTGAGGTTAGCATCAGCCATACTGATGGAAGGCAGAGAGCGGTCTCTCAGATGATTAATGGAAAGAAGTTTAGTTTTTTGGAGATGGTAAAATTAACAAGCCCACTCAATACACGCCTCGAGAGCTACTCAAGAAAGAGATTCGTGGTTAAAAGGGTTATTACGAATAAAGTATGTTATATGATTAAAAGCTCAATCTTTTCACAGTTTATCAACCTCTTTGGGGATTCTTTGAAACTGAGAGACATTTTGGATTGCAATGTTTTTTTTTCTTTTCTTTTTTAATTACTTATATTCACATATGGCATTAACAATTTTTTGGGGGTATAATGGTTTTTTCCAGATACAAGTCCTACTATTTAACCCATAGCTTGGGGAGAGAGATAGATTCATACTTTTCCCAACGGTAATTGCGTGTAAGTGAACGTAGTGAACCTGACTGGAATATGAACTTCGCTCTCCGATTTATCAGGCTGGGCCACCATTTGTTGCACCATGGTACATCCTCTCAAAGTAAAGGGTTACTGAGGAAAATGTTGCTGATGACGGAGATGAACTATGAATGTAAGAGATGGTGGTAGGAATTGAAGATTATGAGGATTAGGAACGATAACGACTTATCCTTGATTTGAAGAGGTAACAGTAGTATTAAAAAGTGCTCGATACACATGTGAAAAAATAAAAGTAAAACTAATATGTAGAAGTTTTAACTTTAAAAATTAGGAGATCAGTTGAATCTGCTACCTTGGTTTCAATCTTCAGGCGATTTTTATCAAATGACCTCTTAACGCTTTATTTTTTTTAAAACTAAGGAACGCTATATTATTTTTTTTAAAAATAATGAAACCAAATGCACAACATTTGGGTGTAATAGAAAGGGTGGAGGAGGATGCGAAGAAGGAAGGAGGAAAAGAAGAAGAAGACGGAAGAGAAGAAAAGCAAGGGATTTTTTATAAAAGTATTGTAAAAATATTGTATTCTTTTATAAAAAGAACAGTTGTAGGGTTCTGGGAAGCACCCACTTGGGAGTCGATTGGGGGGTGGGGCGTTGCTGATCATATGGTATGATCAGGATTTTATAAGTAGAAAGGCCGAAGTGTTTGCAAACAAAAATTGTGTCTCTCGTAAGTTTGAAATTGGAGCCAATACAACAATGCAAATTCTCAGATATACAGGACAATAATATGGAAGACTTTATGAATTGTAAATCAATAGCGTCGTAACTGGACAAGTTTATGACCAACTGAATCAAAGAACTGGGATGTATATAACAGAGTTGCAGGTAGAATTAATTTCGTCTTCGTTTTTTTTTTTTTTTTTTTTCCTGGAAAATATTTTGGCTTTTCAACAAACAGCGGTCATAGACTTCAAAGGCAAAACCAAAAAAACCCATGGGAAAGAATCAGCCCTCAGATGTAAACGAAAAGATGTAAATTTAATCAAACTGAACCCCAAAGAGGCTTTTATTCTTTTTTCTTTTTTTCTTTTTTTATAGATGTGACACATGCCAATACAACATTCCCGAGAGTCATATTCCGAGTAACAGTCACCTCAATGTCTTTAGTCATGAACTTGCAAGTGATTTCTTCATGCTTACAATGATTTTATGACAGTGACGAAATATACATCGAGAAATAAGGGATTGTCAGTGGTCAGGAAAAAAAAATAGAAACATTGCTGAAAGAACTTAGCTATAGTAAGATAAAGAACAAAGATTAAAAGATTTATCAATCGAACATGTTTCCCTTTTATTAAAGCTTCATCACAGATTGATAGAAAACAGACGACCTTCAGTATTTTCAATTTTGTTTGGTTCAATTCTCATTAACAAATATATATTTTCATCTGATGCCCGCAAAGACATCTTAGAGTTTTGACAAACTTACACACACATAAAATTATCTTCTTACATTGTTCGGTCTGTCGTCCTCATCCTTATTACCATAGTCACGACCTTTCGGCCGTTGTACGCTCAGGCCTCCTTCAGGTGATTGGAATTTTGAACTGAACCCTTTATTTAGTCCACGGGGTGGAGGGATAGATTGTTCTAGTTCCACGTGCCATGCCTCACTGGATCTAACCAGTGTTTTTATCCACTGGACACATGGCCCGGTGGATAAATACGTTGGTTGGATCCAGTGACTTGATCCAAAGGCTTGTGAGTTCAAATCCTGGCTACTGCAGTAGTGAACAAAAACTTGGAAAGTTGAGTTGAAAGGAGATAACCGAGACATCCGGAGGAGGCATGGCACGTGGAGCTAGAACAATTTACTCCGGTGGCCGAAATAAAGGGTCCGGTTCGAAATTCCAATCACCTGAAGAAAGCCAGGGCGTACAGTGGCTGAAACGTCTTGAATATAGTCCCCAAGTTCAATACCCGGTTAAGGCAGTGGAGAACTTGGAGAACAGTCTACCCCAGTGAGCGAAATAAAAGGTTCAGTTCGACATTCCAACCACCTGAAGAAAGCCGGAGCGTACAACGGCCGAAACGTTGCAATAAATATGGTGACAAAGATGAGGACAATAGTCTGAATAATGTAAATAGTGTACATAATACCTCATCTCAGAAATATAGACACAATTTGATAGATATAGATAGATAAGAATATATTTTGATAGATTAAGTACAAAACTTAGATTAGAACACACTTAGATAAGAACATATTTTGATAGATAAATAGACATATAAGAAAACACTTAGATAAGAACACAGATAGATAGATACTTTGATAGGTCGCTAGCAAGATAGATAAATAGATTAGAACACTGATAAAAATAAACTTTGATACGTAGATAAGAACACATTTTGATAGATAAAAACAAACTTTCATAGATACATAGATAAGAAGACAGATAGATATATAGAAAGATAAGAAGATAGTCAGATAAAACAGATAGATAAGACAGCTAAATAAGAACACAGATAGATGCCAGATAGATAAGAACCTAGATAAGAAGAGAGATAGATAGATAGAAAGAGACTGAGATAGATAGATAGATAGATAGATAGAGACTGAGAGATAGATAGATAGATAGAGACTGAGAGATAGATAGAGACTGAGAGATAGATAGAGACTGAGAGATAGATAGAGACTGAGAGATAGATAGAGACTGAGAGATAGATAGAGACTGAGAGATAGATAGAGACTGAGAGATAGATAGATAGATAGAGACTGAGAGATAGATAGATAGATAGATAGATAGATAGATAGATAGAGACTGATAGATAGATAGATGGATAGATAGATAGATAGAGACTGAGAGATAGATAGATAGATAGATAGAGACTGAGATAGATAGATAGAAAGAGACTGAGATAGATAGATAGAAAGAGACTGAGATAGATAGATAGAAAGAGACTGAGATAGATAGAAAGAGACTGAGATAGATAGAAAGAGACTGAGATAGATAGAAAGAGACTGAGATAGATAGAAAGAGACTGAGATAGATAGATAGATAGAAAGAGACTGAGATAGATAGATAGATAGAAAGAGACTGAGATAGATAGATAGATAGAAAGAGACTGAGATAGATAGATAGATAGATAGATTATGAGATAGATAGATAGATAGATAGATTATGAGATAGGTATGAAGAAACTGGGATAGACATAGATATGAAGAGACTGAGGCAGATACATATGAAGATAGCTAGCTAGATAGATAGATGGGGAAAACAAACTTAAATAAGAAGAAAATAGTAGATAAAGAAACAACAAACTTTGATAGATATATATTTAGATAAAAATGAGATTTTTATGATAGACGGACAGACAGATATATCTGTAGAAACTGGTATAGAGTAAATGGACATATATGTGCAGGAAAGAATTATACAAATATAACAAAACCTGGAAGAGATATATCAGCAAAAATATATGCAAATTGATTGCAAGGCAATGAATATGAAGATAAAAAAAATGAGTCAGTATGAGTAATAATAACAAAATTCGTCAAGTCAGTATATAGGTATCATATAGAAAGAAAATGACTAACTACCGACACCAAGGTTCGAACGTAACACTCTGGACTTATGAACATATGTTTTTCGCCAAGTGTATAAACAGCGGTGTCAGGCTACTGACTGGAGTGACTATTGATTGGAACTATCCAGTCGAATTAGTGTGAATTATTGTGCGTCGATGATTTGGGTTTTGATTTAGAATTTACCAGACGTTAAGCCGAACCGCGCTACTAACAAGGTATTCACTGAAATGGTTAATTATTTTTGGTTGACTTTTACTTCTTTGATCTTTTTAAGTATTTATTTGCCGTTGTAATGAAATACTGTTTTTATCTTAACATTGAAGTCTTGAGTTATACGCAATTATTAACAGTACTTCACAAAAAATATTTTCCCGGATTTAACAGTGGGCATAAATGGTTTAATAGCATGGATAAAAAAATTATATAATGAAAATTTCACATACAAATTTCTTACTTACCATTCTTACGACAGTCACCATAATACCAGGAAGTCTCTATGAAGTCTGTCATATAGGAAGAAAAGGATAATTAACCATTTCAGTGAATACCTTTTTAGTAGCGCGGTTCGGCTTAACGCCCGGTAAATTCTAAATCAAAACCCAAATCATTGACACACAACACCGACACCGAGCATGACACTCTGGACTCATGAATATGTTTTTCGACAGGTGTATAAACAGCGGTGTCAGGCTACTGACTGGAGTGATTATTTAGTGACTATTGAGTGGAACTATCCAGTCGAATTAGTGTTAATTATTCTGCGTCGATGATTCGGGTTTTATGATTTACCGGACGTTAAGACGAGCCGCGCTACTAAAAAGGTATTCCCTGAAATGGTTAATTATTTTTGGTTGATTTTGTTAAGTATTTATTCGCTGTTGTTATTAAATATTGTTTTATTTAACATTAAAGTCTGGAGTTATACTTAATTATTAACAGCCACCGTGCGTCACAAAAATAGGTAATTTGGTTATTTACTGTCAAAATTTTCAGTGTCATCGTTTCAAGGTAAAAAGTAAATTAAAAACAAATCCAAATACCTGAATACAGTTAGTAATTTTCTCATTTGAGTCAGCCATACAACATTGCTTACCTGTAAAGAAAGACAGAAAAAAAATTATAAAAACATCGCTCACAACTAGATAAAATCTGATAGAACTAGAACTCATTTTTTTATTATTATTTCCCCTCAAGGTAAAGGAGCAACTAAGCATGAAACAAAAACACAAGAGGTTACTGATTAAAAGAAAAACATTATTAAGGATAGAGGACAATAAAAGAACAGTTTGTTTTATAGGTTTTTTTGTTTTGTTTTACGGCATATCAACCTCAGCGGGTTATTTAATGCCAACAGGATCTTAGGATAGGTTCGTATGAATGGAATACGTATTCATTGTAAGAAATCAGTTTGGAGAAGATCAGGTTTCATAGACGTATTTTTGCAAAGAGGGTTTTTTTTTGTTAATAGTCAAATATATTGCTGGTAATAATTTTTTTGTCTTTTTTATGATAAAAATCTATTTTTATGCCCTCATAGTGATTTGACCCCAGTTGCATGAAACAAAAACACAAGAGGTTACTGATTAAAAGAAAACACATTATTAAGGACAGAGGACAATAAAAGAACAGTTTGTTTTATAGTTTATTTTGTTTTACGGCATATCAACCTCAGCGGGTTATTTAATGCCGACAGGATTTTTAGGATAGATTCGTATGAATAGAATACGTATTCTTTGTAAGAAATCAGTTTGGAAGAGATCAGCTTTCGTAGACCTATTTTTGCAAAGAGATTTTTTTTTGTTAATAGTCAAATATATTGCTCGTAATAATTTTTTTTGTCTTTTTTATGATAATCTATTTTTATACCTTCATAGTGATATGACCCAAGTTTGGATGTTTACTTTTCGCCCATGTCTAGGACCCTAACAGGTGCTACCACACCGGGACAACAGCAATTAAAAGGTGGTTCCACGTTTCTTAAAACTTCCTGATCAGAGGCCTTGTTGACAAATGTAGTTTATCAGGACGGTAAAAGAACAGGTATTAAGAAGACAGAAGATAATGATTGCCATTGCATTCAGATTTTTGGAGATCAAAGTTGACAGGGAAGTAAAAAGCCGGAAGGGAGTTTCGCAAGCGAGAAGTGCAATAGAAGAAACTGCCAGCATAGAACTTACGGTTAAATCTAGCTATTTAAGTTGTAAAATGATGAGACCTTGCCGCCAATCTAGTACTGAGTTTAAATTCATAAAGTTTAGGAACCACAGTGGAAAGTTTTAAAAAATTAAAAAAAAAGAAAATTTTATCGTTTCACCCAAAGCAAGGCATTAATGCCAGTGGAACGCAGGGGTTTATAGGGCGTGAATCTCAAAGAGAATGAGAAAACTGAGAATGGAAAGGATTGGGCAAAGGACAACAATGGAACAGGGTTCAGAAAGAGGGAAGATGGCGATTGACGTTATATTTAATTTTTTTGAAGGTTGCACTTATCGGAGAAGCAAAAAGTCAGAAGCGATCTTCCACAGGTGGGAAATACGAGAAAAGAAAAGAGTAGAAATGGCGGTTGAATCTAGCTAGTTCCACAGTAAAACGGTGGTACCTAGTTGCCAATCTAGTGGCACGCTTAAAATTCATGCTGCCGGGGGGGGGGGGACCAGGGCAAAAAAAAAAAAGCTTGTTAGGGAAGTTGCCATGAAAATATTTGTAGAAAAGACAGAGGGAAGTCACTTCGGTGAGAAAGTGAGTGAAGTCGAGATGCCTGGTCATGATCGATTACATTGCAGATCCTTCTTTGAATTTTGTCAAGAATCTCGAGATAAGCAGTAAAAGCACCAGACCAGATATGGATGCAGTATTCGATGCACAGACGAATGGTAGATTTCTAAATGTGCAAGATGACTGTCTGTATTTCTGAGATGAGGTATTATGTACATTATTTACATTATTCGGACTACTGTCCTCATCTTTGTCGCCATATTTATCACAACGTTTCGGCCCTTGTACGCTCCGCCCTTCTTCAGGTGGTTGGAATTTCGAACTGAACCCTTTATCTAACCAACGCCTTTATCCACTGTGCCATGTGTCCTTGAGTGACAGGACCCAAAGAGCGTGAGTTCAATACCCGGTTAAGGCAGTGGAGAACTTTCAGAGGGAAAATTAGCAGGAGATAACTGATAACTGACATCCATCAAACATGGCACGTGGAACTAGAACAGTCTACCCCAGTGAGCGAAATGAAGGGTTCAGTTCGAAATTCCAACCACCTGAAGAAGGCCGGAGTGTACAACAGCCGAAACGCTGTGATAAATATGGCGACAAAGATGAGGACAGTAGTCCGAATAATGTAAATAATGCGCAAGATGACTTTGGACATGAAAATACTTCAGGACCGACATAGCGAACCAACGTTCTTTATTTAATACCGACTTTATATTTACTAATAATTTAATACTTCCTTTAGCTTATATATTTAAAAAGTCTTTTCTTGCACAGTTCGAGTTTACACTGCTTCAAGATAAAGATTTTCCTTCGTAAATAGAATTTCCTTCTTAAAAGACACTTATTTTCTTGTCTTTATTCACACTGTCTTTGACTTGATTAATTCCTGGAAAGCAGTTCGCCAAACAGCCCACCAGGGATGCCAGACGGGGGTTACTTTTAAATTTTGTTACTTGCGACATTTCGGGACACTTTTTAAAATAAGCTAATTCGGTCGGCTAATGAGAAGAAAAGTCAATTCAAAATTCACTAGCGCCAGGCTTTTAAAATAAAGTCTAACCTGGCAGTCCCGCTGTTTACACCTCCAGACTTTCTTCCAAAATTTTCTTATGCGCCTGATTCACAAGACACTGCCTTTCTTTACATTGTCCGCGGTCTCTTGCATAATACCCGTCAAAAATCTAAAAGGATTATTTAAGACTGTAGAGGTACTTTTTTTAAAAAATAATTTCACCACGATTAAGGCGGGAATGTTACTCTAACGCAGGGGGCTAAAGTGAATTTAACTAAGAGAAAAATCTTTGTATATGGAGGATTTAGGAAAGGATAAAAGATGAACAGGATTCAAGAAAATAGAAGATGGTGATTGACGTTGCATTTAAATTTTTGATGATTGTAATTATCAGAGAAAATATAAAGGGAATTTCACAGATGGGAAATGTGAGAAAAAAAAACTCCTAGAATGCAAATGGCGGTTTCCTCTAGCTAGTTCAACAGTAAAGTTGTGAGACCTAATTGCCAATCTAGTAGCACACTTAAATTCATGCAGTCGGGGCACCAAGAAAAAAAAGCTTGTCTGAGCAGTTGCCATGAAAATATTTGAAGAACAGGCAAAGGGAAGCGAAGTAACATCAGTGAGAAAATGATTGGAGACAAGATACCTTGTCACCTGGTCAGGACTGATTGTGTTCCAGATCCTTCTTTGGATTTTGTCAAGAACCTTGAGATGAATAGTAGGAACACCAGACCAAATATAGCAGCAGTATTCAATATATAAACAAATGGTAGATTTATAAATGCACAAGATGGATTCTGAAGAGAAAATCTTTTCCGCGCGACACAGTGAACCAACCTTCCTTACAGCAGACGTTGCAACTGATTCGATATAGTCCCTCAATATCAATGGGAAACATGGAACCAATAAGTTGTAGAGTGTTGGTCGCTGGAGTTCACCAACCTCTATGTCATCCTCGATTGGGGCTTTTCTGTTCTTGTCCCTGGAGACGACCTCCGGCCACCTGATACTGAGGATGTTCCTGAGACATCAGTTGGTAAATATCTGAAGTCTGTGGATGTTGGTCTTGGTTGCATCTAGCTAGTTAAACAGTAAAAAAGAGGGACCTAATTGCCAATCTAGTAGTATGCTTAAATTCGTAGTCAGGACGCCATGAAAAAGAAGTCAAGGGGCAAGGTCATGATCGATTGTATTTCAGACTCTTCTCTGGATTTTGTTAAGAATCTTGAGAGGTACAATAACAATACCAGACCGATATGAGCCTGTTTAACAAGACGCAGCCTTTCTTTACATTGTCCGCATTCTCTTGCATAATATCCGTCAAAAATCTTATAAGATTATTTAAGACTGTAAAGGTATTTTTTTTTAAATAATTTCACCTCAAGTAGGGCAGGAATGCCACTCGTACGCAGGGAGTTAAAGAGAATGAAACTAAGAGAAAACTAAAAGAGTATAAGGAGGATTGAGGAAAGGACAAAAGATGAACGGGATTCAAGAAGATAGAAGATGGTGATTGACGTTGCATTTAAATCTTCGAAGGTTGTAGTTACCAGAGAAGCAAGGAAACAGAAGGAAGTTCCGCAAGTTGGAAGTGCGAGAAAATAAAATGTCAGGGTAGAAGTGGTGGTTGAATCTAGCTAGTTCAACAGTAAAACAGTGAGACCTACTTGCCAATCGAGTCGAACTCTTAAATTCATGTATTCGGGAGATCAGAGTAAAAAAAAAAAAAAAAAAAGGCTCGTCAGAGAAGTTGTCATGAAAATATTTGTAGAAAAGACATAGGGAAGCCAGGTCACGTCAGTGAGAAAGTGACTGAGGTCGAGATGCCAGGTCAGGATCAATTACATCACAGACCCTTCTTTGGATTTTGTCAAGAACCTCGAGGTGAATAGCAGGAGAACCAGACCAGATATATCAACAGTATTCAATACATGGCTGAATGGTAGATTTCTCGATCTGCAAGATGGATTCTGATGAGAATAATTTTTCTAACACGACACAGTGACCCAACTTTCCTTGCGGTAGATGCAGCTATGGATTCGCGGTAGTCGCTTCACTTGAAAACTAGAGGCCAAGAAGGCGCAATGACTTGCTCTATCGTTAGCCATATTGATGGCAAGCAGAAAAGGTTCTCTATGGTGGTTAAATGGAAGCAGTTTTGTCTTGGAGTAGCAAAATACGTAGGGTGGACGAAAATGGCAATGATCATAACTGCAGCGAATGTAATTCCACACCCTACTATCCTACCTAGTCAGAAATATGACGACTTAAACGGTGCAGTGAGAGGGAGGGTTTCCGACCCTGGGGTAGTGGACTCATTAAAGCGATAGACTATCTTTGCCCATGCTTTGATATTACCAAAACAATTAGTACGGTTGCAGCAGTAGAGAAGTCAAGAGCTCTGGTACTCGCCCAGGTTTTCCCCACCCAGAAGCAAGCTACGCACATAGAAATACTGGATAGTTGGCTGGCCGACCT